GAGACAGACTTAAAATAATATACACTCTCCGACTACATATTTTTAATTGAATTTTGGCAATTATTTGAGTATGAATTGAAATATCAATTACAAAATACTACTGAGAGTCTTTGATGAAAATGTTAACCATTGGAAAAGCTATTTTTTGATCTTACAGAGAAGGGAATTTTCAGTGTAAAAAAATAGGTCATTTTCAGGCAAATTTTTTGTGGAACTATTTTTATTTCAAAGGTAAAATCACTTAACCTTTTGTTTCTATGGACCTGAAGACATTCTAAGTTAATGGCATAAAGTTGAAAATTTTATTTTGAATATTTATGAAATGAGACAAAAAATTCAATTCAAAGCTCAATGTAGTCCGACAGTTACATTGGTGTACTAAATTTAAAACAATGACAAACATAAGATCTAAACTTACTACTTTCTAATCTGTGTTTATTGAAGTTTGGGACTATCTGTGCATATATTTATGTATTATTATTATTCATGATTACACCAATGGTTTAGGTTTAGGAACAAATTTACTATACATGTACACAGCGACCATGACAAGAGATGCCCCAATGACAAATTGTATTGATAGATGAAAATCAAAGAAATACACAGAAACAATACATGACAATACAATAGAGGCTGATGTAGCAAATCCTTTTAATATATTATCAGCATATTTTACTACTACTGCTACAATCAGACCTCCAAAACTCTGTAAAAATATAACTAACCACACAAACCATGTATAACCAAAGAAAAATCCCTTCTCTGTCACTTTAGCACCATCTTTTAGCTCCATTGTTATTAACCCAATCACAATACCCAGTACACTCAACTGGATGTTTCGGATCCAAACTGACTGTCGTGTTCCTTTTAATATTTTTTCAAAATAAACACCTGCAAATCCGGATAAGACACACGAAATAATAACAGCCACCAAACCAACAAATGGATTTTGTGCCAAATTTTGAGACACAGATTTCTCTGATGTTTTGGGTTGTAATTGAACAATAGACACACCCACAAATAAAACCACTAATGAAAGCCATTGTAATTTAGCTACAGCTTTTTCTAACATAAACACAGAAAATATTGCTGTTGTTAGAATTTTTAGTTGATAGGTGACCTAAAATAGAAAAAAAAGAGGCATATATATATATATATATAACTAACAAAATAGTATAGAAAGCACTTTTTCATCATCTAAGATAACTATTGATATAAAATCATGTGATCTATTCTTAAGCGTCACCAGCATAACCTTCAAACTTATCTTGATAATTAAATGTGTGATTTACTAGAGACTGAGCTAATTCTTGAATGAAAGCAAGGTTCATAACGCAAATTAAGCAAAATCAATTGATAAGTTGGTGACGTAATATGAATGAATAGTTTATGTGACATCATTAAAACCTTATCAACAGCAAGAAAATGAGCTTAAAGCTGGTAAAGGTTACCTCCAATTTCAATGATGTAGAATATGACCTGGGACTGAAGAAAGAGGCAATTTTTGGAGTGACAACACATTACCTCTGTTTGTTTGCATAATGAGTCTCGTTCTGGATTCAATATGGCTGACACAATAATAAGGTCTATGCTATTATTTAGAATGAAAAAAGGTCAAGGTGTTCTTCTACAAAACAGTAACAGACAGCCATCTAAATTCAGTAATTTGTGAGTCCAACTATAATTTTTTCCAATGCAAACGCTACCAATAGAATGTGTGTATTTAGATAAGATAGTAAACCAACCTGAAATGTAGCAGCATCTAAATTAGACACAGCTAAATATAATAGGTTATTCTGGATAGTATAAATAATAGACGGTACCGAAACTTTAACACAGTCTAAAGGACAGTCTATAATATCAGTTTTTAGCATTTTTACAAACTGGCCAACACCACCTTCTTGATAAATTATAATTACACAACACGTCAATAATTTACACATTTCTGACATGACCACCGCTGTACTTGATAAATACATATCCCCATGTTGGGTGCGTGTATAACGCATGACCAATATAAGAGCAGCATTCTGTAAGATTAGGGCCACCAGAGAGAAATACTTCAAAGAATTCAAATCTAAAATTATAAATTAAATACTTAAATGGATTTAACAAACATATAGAAGGCTATTAACAATATACTCAACCATATGTACTAGCATAAAGTTGTACAGTGTCTTCACTATCAAAAGCCATTCAAGATTCCTAATAGTCCTCCAGTCTTTCATTTACCATGTGATAGCTCCCAGTGATATGTCATCAAACCCTGATAATATTCATAGTAAATATCTTGCCAATCTGATTTCTACATCATGCAAACAAGACATAACATGGAACAGAAGGTTTAATTCCAAAAATTGAAAACAAAATCATTTACATTAAGATTTCAACTTTATTAAATCTCTTGAAAGACACTGAATAAATGAAGAAAACTTTTCTTACATGTTTGGATTCTGATTGTATGTCAAAGTTTTTTTTTTTAAAACAGTTTAAAAGATCAGGTTATAGAAGAAAAAGTGGAATTAAAGTTGGTATAAGTGTGTAGGATCATGACATCGTCACCACTATTCGCTTAGTCAGGGAGTTTATTTTGGACATGTTCTGTTTTGGGATCGCCATGGGATCGAGAATATCGTCACACAAGCAGTGTGCATTTGCAGTATAAAAGCACAGTACAAAGGTGACAAAAACAGTGCAAAAACATAACTTGCAGTATGAGGTCATCTGTTTTTAAGTATTCAATTTTTTCAGGGACTTTTTCTCTGGTTTTCCTCACGATTGACCACACCCTAGTACATATCCAGTCGCCACAAAATTGTGTCTTCAACAGTGTTTACAAGATAAAAAATTGAACATGTTTTCAAGAACAAGGTCAATAACTCACACTTAAAAGTTTTTGATTTTCAGTAGGATTTATCCTTAGGCGATAATAAACATTCACACCAAGTTTCATCAAAATCTGTCAAAGATTGAACCTTCAAGAGTGTTTAAAAGCTAAAATTGAATGTGACTTCAAGAACAAGGGCAATAACTCATACAACAGTATATCCTGCTCACGCGCCCACCTTTATTAAGCAATCACCTTCAATATGCGACCACAATAAAATCCCCCCCTACGAGTTTTCAATGTAATTAACGACTGATAAGCGACCACCTTCATTACGCATCCAGCGACCGTGTATTTACACTCCTGTGTAATCATATTGAGTCAATTAAGCGACCATGACACTTATTAACTACCTTGATTAAACATCAAGTTGTTTCACATATCGGTGAGATTAATCGAGATTATCGCTAATCGGTCTAAGGTTTAATTTTATAGCTTATTAACGATTAATGTCAGTCTATTATCGATATAAAAAGGCAGTTAGGCATGAGCCATTCATTTTCAAAATGTCGAAGCCTACACGTAAAGTTTTAGCATTAAATGAAAGGGTCAAGGTCATCAATTTGGCGAAAGCCGGGAAAAGTGGTCGACAAATTGTCGATGAAATAGGTGTTGGTAAGATCCAAATTCAGGGAATTCTGAAGCATAAAGCAGAAATTATGGAGGATTTTGAAAGCAATGTTTCTCCCGATCGGAAACGTGTGAAGCAGTTCACCGGCAATGAAGAAATCAACAAATTAACTTGGGAGTTTTTTAAAGATTGTCGCACTCGGAATGCCGTAGTATATGGACCATTGTTAAAGGAATGACATTGTTTTTGGTGCTATGAGTGGTGAAAGCGCGGATTTCTAATACATAGAATGAAATAGAGGAAATGAATGAAATTGTTTCAGCCGACTCAATTCTCTCATAAGAGACCACCTCCAGTAAGAGACCGTTTTTGAATTTTCCCCTGCATGGTCGCTTAATACAGTTTTTACTGTAATTGTTTAATGATTTTTTTTTGATTTTCAAAAGGGTTTATCTGTGATTACAATCACTCACAACAAGTTTCGAGGAATCCATCAAAAATTGTGTCCTTGGGTGGTTACAAACAATCATACCAAGTTTCGTCAAAATCAGTCAAGAATTCTGCCTTCTAGAGTGTTTAAAAGCAATTGTGGACGGACAGACAGACTTGGGAGACAACATGTGGGTGTATAAAAATCAATAAAATTTCCTAATTTGAATAAGTAAGTATTGTATTAAAATATATTGCCAATATAAAGTAAGAGGTCTCTTTGATTGTCAAAACCAATTATACTGTACTCTGTGATATTCGACATCTGAGTATTCTGACATTCTGGGTAATCCGACATCTTTTTCTGGTCCGGATTGATTTCCTTCTTTATATGTCAGTTTAAAAAAATACTGAATACTCCGGCACTCTGTGTATTACGAATCATACATTCAACTAACATTATTTACCCAGATGTTTTAAAATATAGTTTAATAAATTTTATCAGTATTAGAGACCAGTAACTCACAGATGTTACTTTAAATTAATATGAGTTTAATCTATAATAAAAATACCTGGTTTTCCACTCAGCTTAGTATGTAAAGATTTTTTAACTGGTACAATTATCCTGAAATCCTTCATCTTTTACTTCTGCTCTGTGAGTTTCAATGTGTTCAGTTCAAATGCCTAATTCAGATGAACATACAACGAAATAGGTCAAGCCACATAATGTCATATACACACCCATCACAACATAAATTACAGCATACTAATTTTTGTAACTTTATTGTCACAATTAAAAAAGATCAACTAAATGATAAAAAGTAATTTAAAACATAGCTTCAGGCCATTGAGAACATCTAATCTCCATCAAATATTACCTTATATAAGAATATATTTTCATCAATGGTAATATCAGTTTATTATCAAGGTAGTCATACATACCAATACAATATGATAAAGATGTCAATCTACAGAAGCATACTATATTCGATCTAAGATTGATTGTTAACTACACTAAATGAACATAATATCTAATCCAAAAAAAATACAAAGATGTTCTGCATCAATTCATCTTAAGCTTTTCAAGCCTAAAGAAGACACTCTTTTTGCATGGCAAATTGTTTTTTTTATATTTTTTTCTAATTCTGGTTAACATTTGTAGAAAAAACTGTAGATAGCTTGCCAAACAATGTAACATACACCCACCACTAGATGTCAGAAATGATAACAAAATCTTTAGTGGCTTAATAATGAATTTTCAAATAATTAAAAAATATTCACAAGTCAAGACAAAACCTTTAAAAGTGCCTCAGATTATAACCAAATTCAAACTTGACTGAGATCTCATCAATATATACATATATACATGTATACCAAGTTTCATCAAGATCGGATAAAAATAGGTAGTCTATATCATGCCTAAAAGTCAAATTTGACGTGTTTTAACTAAGTCAAGGGCATTAACTGTGAAGTCATTCATCCAATTATTACCGAATTCAAACTTGACCAAAAATCAATATATACATGTATATTAAAAGGTTGTAGCCTTTATCTTGCATACAAGCCAAATTTAATGCATTTTTACTAAGTCAAGGGCAATAACTCATGGAGGTACCACATCATCCAATAAATATATGGTCCTCTTTCCAACTATATATGACAATGATGCATAAATATATTCTTTGAAATATCGAAATTTTCTAACATCATATGTATTCGTCCAAATATATATTTTCTATTTAAGTATAATGGATTTTCAAACCCTTTAGTGTTCTAACTTGTCTTTATACTACCATGAATCAAATACCATCCATGGATCAAGTACAATTTCTTTCAACTAAATTTGGAAATCCTTCATTACATAATTGTCAATGGCTCATTTAGGTGTACTTGGTTCAATTAGTCCTCATGGAAGGTGAGCCCAAGGTTATAAACATAACTTGGAAATAATCGGAATAGTAATAATTACAATAAAGTTTTTAGTTTTGTTTACACCCAGTTGATCTATGAAATTGATGTTGCTTGCACAGAGCTATCAAACATAATAATTACTTCAGCATTGAAAAATAGCTATTTATCATATTTGGAGAGAATAAGTCCAATACAAGTCCACTTAAAGTTAGGCTAAACCCAGACGATATTATGGTCTATAATGAATAATAAAATATATAATATTTCTTCACCAAAATTCTTTCTTATGATAAGAGCAGATGAGTGTATTTTATTGCAAGATCGTGTCATTTGCGTTCCCTCTCATGTCAGTAAGGATTTTTTACACCTGTACCTATAACTTTTGTCTCTACTATTCTTTACAAATTGAGAAAATTGAAGTCTCATTTCTGGGGTGTAATTATATAAATCATTCATTTTTACCAGATACTCTAGAATTTTAATTTCTTGTTCATAAACTGTAGGCTTAAAAGTACTGGAGTTGAAAGCAGGCTAGAAGTTTCAAAAGGTCCAAAAGCCATGGAATAGGGTCTCGTTGCCACACTCCGTGCTGTTCACAGTTCTTGTTTCAATTAAAATCTGACTTGAGGTTTGAGCATATAACCTTCTATTCTGGTGAAAAAAACTTGTCCACCCCTGAATCAAAACCCCTGTTTTCAAGAGACAATTTGTATATAGAACATTGTATAACATTCCAACTATTATAGGCATATAAGCTCATACATCTATCTATTTGAAAGTATACTAGAATACAAGATTATGCACAGCGCAACAAAAAACAAAGTGGTTAATCTATTCCTACGTACCTTTCAACATATTTATATGACAACGTGGTAATGCAAACTGTTAACTACCAATAAAATTCTCAAGGTAACAGATGGTCACTATAGTCAATATTTTTCAATACATGTATATGAGAAAGTGACTGTCTTGAAATGAGGGATTTTTTCACCCTTTTCACATCAATCAAATTCAATCAAGACTGAATGTATGAAAGATATGAAAGGTAATATACGCCCGGCAAGAATCCTGCCTTTTATTGTTTACCGCCTAAAAATTAAAATTGTTTTCAAGAACAAAGTCAATAACTGATATTCAATAGAATTCATCTTTGGATAATAATAATAAACAATTTCTCCAAATCTCATCAAAATCTCTGAAGTATTTACAAGCACAAAATTGAATATATTTCCAAAAGCAAGGGCAATAACTCCATTTTTCTGGGTTTATCCCTGTGGATTTCAACACTCATGCCAATGCCAGTGCTTTCATTGAGACTCGTCTCAATACACCCTAACACCAATTTTCGTCAAAATTTGAATTGTGCCTTCCAGAGTGTTTACAAGCCAAAAATTGGACATTTTTTCCAGAACAAGGGCAATAACTCATACTAAATATATTTTACTGATTTTTAATAGGGTTAATCTTATTGGGTGATTTTGGTGATCTTTGGGTGATTACAAACACTTAAGGTAAGTTTCGTCAAAATCTGTCAAGAATTGTGCCTTCTAGAGTGTTTACAAGCCAAATATTGAAAGTGTTTTCAAGAACAAGGGCAATAACTCATACTAAATATTTTTCGATATTTCTGATTGTCACTAGGGTTCATGCTATTATGGGTTCTAATAGTTATAATGGGTGATAACAACCATTCATACCAAGATTCGTCAAGCAATTGTAGACCGAAGGACGGACAGATATGGGTGATGCAAATAAACAAAATGCAAAATCTACATAGATAGAGGAAGATGAAATTAGCCTGGAATGTAAATTGATCTACCTACCAGACTTTTTGCCCATTTCTCCTGGATCTTTTGTTTCAATTGTAATTTCACTGGAAACTCCACCTCTATTCAATGCCTTACTACCAAGTGGTAGAGCTGTTGACATGACTCTATAGTAATCCTGTAGACTGGACACTGTACCTATTACTTCAATATGTGTTGACTTTATCTTCTCTCACTCTGAAATCATTCAAGTAAACTAAATTATTGACACCCACAATATTAGATAGGAACGTTATCAAAATTATTCAATCGTGTATAACATGACTTTAAGCCATTGTAATCAGGAGAAACCAATGAAGCTTCATAATTTGAGTCTGAAAGTCCAAGCTTGTGTTGTGTGGAATATCATCTTTGACAAATACAAAATGGCGGATTTCACTTATTACCAAACTTCAAAATTTTTTATCGGCCGAATTTCCTTATAATCAATCCCATGCGGTAATCGGAATTCCAAGTGTTGTCTGCTGGAATAGTCCGACGAATGAAGTCACGTGATCAACTAGCGGATTCCGTGTCAGCAGAAAGATTCTATGGAACACAAAGCGGGCCATATTCTTATGTTATTTCCATGACTTTTAGCAATAAATCGTATCTTATTTTGTCAGTCATTATTTTTTCTTTTAAATCATGGTTCTTTGAAGGAATTGTCACTGGTTGTAATGAATTGATATTAAAGATAAATACAGTGGTGTAACCTATTTTCGTGCATATAAGGATTCAATATTAATCATTGGCAAAGTTTGTTTGTATACACTGGAAGATGATTGTTTGCTGTTTTAGCGTTGATTACCCAGACTCTTTTTTCTCATACTGAGGGGACTTGTCGCTTGCTCACTTTTTTTAAAAATTTTGTTTATAGTTTTATTGTCGTTTTTCAAATTTGATAAAGTGTGGGATGCATAGTTATTTAACCAATGGTCACTATTCAACACAAATATTAGCCACAGGACGAGTGTATTCTAAGATGTAGTACCGTATCCATTTAAAAAAATGAAATTAGATGTTTCCTCAGATATTCTACAAAATAATTAAAATTGGTTTGCATTCTGCCGCCGTTGCCGAGGTGGTTGCTCATGAAATATAGGTCAATGTGAAGGATTCATAAAGAAAATCGAAATAAACCAATTTTAATTATTTTGTAGAGTATCTGAGGAGACATCTAAGACATGAAAAAAACATTTTGTTTTTTTAACTTTGACGAAATTCGGTGTTGAATCCTTATATCCACGAAAATAGGTTACAGCACTGTACTGTTATTGCATTGGCCAA